TTCCGTCACATATGGAATTGCCCATATGTTAACTTTCATTCACAGGGTCATAAATTTTCCTCAAAATTTTTCTTTCAATGATCAGTAGTTTATCTTCTACTGCCACCATACAAGACTAATTAATAAATTTCGAATAGTAATGTATGTTAGCATTCTTTTTAATCCATAAAAATTTCTGTTTGCTCTCATAATGTGATTATCGATTTCTGTTGCCACATTATTTTTCTTAATTTCAATGTTGAAAGCTATTTAAATTCTGAAACTCTATTAAACCTGTAATTATTTATTACAAGAAATTTAAGGTTGGTCTTTCTAGTGCTGATTTTCAAATATTTGGCTTTTGTTTCATTGATTGTTAAGCCTGCATTTTTAACAGTTCTTGTTTAATTTGTTTAAAAATATGCTATAAAATAATAAATTATTCCTTATGGAGAAAGAAAAACATAATTTATATAAACAAGCATAATTAGATGCTATATTAACTTAAAAGACGTATTGAAATAGTACTTGTAAGACAGAATGTAGAGATAAATATACAAAACAAATGCTTTTATTCCTTACAGCTAATGCATGTGAAAGATGGGCTCTATATGCTGAGACAACGGTGACAACTAGATCCTCTTCAGGAATATACGCTAATCCTCTCTCCAAATATACTTTACGGTTTTTTATGAGATCTAAAACTTCTGTAAAAGGGACCTAAAATAACATTTTTTTTCCAAGATGTTAAAGTACCACAAGATTATAATTATTTTTTATAACAACATAGTTAATGAATTTTTTTTTATTTACTTTACCTTATAAAACTTCGAAGCCAAAACTTTAGTTAGTGAATGGTTGAAACCTAGGTACAATTTCGAACTCAACCGTTCCTTTTCCTCACTTGTGATCTATAAAATTATTAAACATAAGTGAAAAGAACTAATATTCTTTTAAAATATTTCTTTTTCTACTTGAGAAGTAATTAATTTAAAGATCTTGACATTAAGATTCTTAAAAATTAATGTATTTTTATTTTCTGCAAAATAGCAAAAATAATGCAAGAATTATATAATAGTATACAGCAGTAAAAAAAGAATATTTTAAGTTAAAACTGTATGAAGATTTTAGGATTCAATGCTCTTAATCTTCTGCACATTAAGCATTTGAACAAGTTAGTACAGATTTATCCTTTCATTATGTTTAAACTGAAATACACAGGGCAAAACTAGTTATGCAAATAATAAATCAGAATAAATGCAAAAAATTTGAGGTTAACCATTAATTAGGCACACATATCAAAGCACGCAGATAGCTAGAAGAAGAGTTGACAAAAATCGTGACTTTTTGAATTTTCTTATTTAAATATTTTTTTTCTTCTTATTTATCTTTTTTCTTCTTACATTTATCAACCAAATCCTTTGATCTAATCAATAAATAATACTATTTAAAATAAATAATATTTTTAGCCAATATGTTTAAAATTATGTTTTGATTTTTACTATCGAATCATTAGCCCGAGATCCTAAAATGTTAAAGACTATAAGCAATTTGACCGAGAGATATTTTAGTAAATTAGTTTAAATAGTAATTAGAGTAAATTAGTATAAATCAGAATACATTAAAGAAAAAAAAATATTCTAACTTTTTTTAGGTTGAAATAGTCTTTCTCCATTATTGATAAACGCTAACTACATATTTAATAACTTTTAAAAAAACTAAATGGGTTAAGAAAGTTGTTTAATACCAGCAAATACAGCTAATGAAAAACTATAATTTAAATGTTTACCAATATTATTCTCTTTCCACTTACCAATTTTAGTCTCTAATTTAATTTCTTAGTCTGTTTCGAAATATAATAATTTGCATTCATTCCCTTTTTATTATTTCTGTGGAAAAAGCCTTTTAAAAAAATTTACTATCTTAAGAATAAATTGATAAATAATACTGTATAAAAATATTTGACTTAATGATTTATTTTTCAAAAAATAAATTGGCTAAAACTAAAGTTTTTTTTTTTAAAATCACAATTGATTTAAATTGAAATTTTTCAAAAAATCAAGTTATTTAAATCACAGTATTAATCATGATTTAAATCATGACAACCTTGGGTAGAAGTGAGAATTAAGTTGCTCTATCTGGACTTTGCACTTTACTGAACTTAGATGACTTGAAAAATTATGGCAAACATAAAATAGATATGAAGCTTCATGCAAAAGTGTTAACAGTTAAAGAACATTTTAAAAAAAAATTTAACATTTGCTTTTTTGCAACAACATGGGATAAAAAGTTAACTGTTATTTTTATTGAAAAAAGATAAGAAAATTACATAAAATATAAGAAAAAAATGAATTACCTATAAAGGTTTAGTAGCTTATTTCAAGACAAAATAAAGAATTATAATACAAGCATTTTTCAAAATTACAATTAGATAGTCAAATTCCAATTTTTTGTTGAATTAAACTTATGTAAAAATTTTATGCACGATAGATTAATCGCCCGCATCAATTTTTAACAAAAAAACTTTATTTAATTCAATTCACACAATCACGTAATTTTGAAGAATAAAATTGACAAAAATAAAAACCAAATACTTCTGATGATAAGACATATTTGAAAAGGATCAAAACTATCGATATGACTAAAATCCTATCATTTAGTTACAACTTTTAAAATTATTTTATACATAGAAGTATAGTATAGTATCTTAATAATTTATGTAAAATAAATTATAAAATAATTTATGTAAGCCATAATTTTTAAACCATAATAGTTCAGCCATAATTTTTTCATCCAAAACATTCACTAATAAAATTATTTAGGTGATGAGGCATAGAAAATTACCCAGTAGGTAGTAAAAGAATTATAACAACTTTTTTTTAAAAAAATATTGTAATACAAAAATAAAAAAGTAGATAAATCAAAAGAAACTCAGAGTAGTTACTTCATCATAGTTCAAGTCATTAAACTTCATAAATTTGGCTCTAATTTCACTATGCTCTGCCATGAAACGAAGGCGAAACAGATCAACTTCTTGAGTAATAAACCATCGACGCAAATCTTCTCTATAAAATAAGCAAAGTTTTAAAAGTGACAAAAAAAAAACAATGTTCATCAGGTACGAAAACCTTACAAATAATTTATAACAGGACTAAACATTGTGCCAAGATCAACTGTAGCAAATCTTATTCTTCAACAATAAAATATGTAGGGTTCATGTTAGTATGGTTACAATTCTCTCCAAATGCTCTACGAATGTCACGAAAACCATATGAATTGGCAACAATATCGTCGCCTTGAAATATGTTTGAAAGTTACAAAATAGTAATGATTTTTTTTTTTTTTTGCATCGAAATCCATGCATTAAAAAAAAAACATTACTCTACACGTAAGTTAAGTTTTAGTTTTAAGATATTTCAAATCAGATAACAATTATAACATCTATTATATATAATTCTCTTACGTGGCTCCCAAAATTTGGCTGTATTTCTTTTCCGCCGGTGGCAACGTTTGCTTTGTTTTAAAAACACCTAAGCATTCTGCCTTTTAATGATGTGTTTCTGATCTAATATATATAATTCTCTTACGTGGCTCCCAAATTTTGGCTGAAGTACTTTGTTCAACTAAATAAGATTCTTTTCACAACAGTTAAATATTTACTTTATTATCTTCATTCATAGAGAAAACAGTCGGCAAAGAATTCTGCTAGGTTAAAAAACATTTCGCTAAAAAAATAACGAATTCTAAAAGAAATAAAAATAAACAACTTAAAAAATAAAAATGCTGTTGCCAGCCATAGAATTTTTTGAAAGTTAACTTAGCAACATAAATCAAAATGACATAGAAGCGCAACTAGATCAAAATTATGATACCTGAGCGCTTGACGTAACAAATCCTTCAATTCTAAAAGTGTTGTATCGCCAAATGCCCAAATTAACAATTGTGTTCTTAAAGAAATTCTATAAAAAGTTTTAAATAAACAACCTACTTCTACAACTGCTTCTTGAAGAACTTGGCTCATTGATTAAAAATATTGTTTTAATTTTACAGTACTAACTTTACTTCTACTTTCATTATTGCTATGACCCTCTTTCATTACATTTTACAACTTCATGCTAAATTTGAGGACTTTAAGTTGTTTTGTGGTTGAATACTGACATTTAGAAATGTGTACATAAAAAAAATTATATTTAGAGGTTAAGAGTTGCCTCAGAAAAATTTGAATTGTTGACATTGAACTTAACAATGGAAACAATCGTTTTTGTGAAAAATTGAATTGTATTGTTGACATCAAAACTAAAAATATTGTGTTTCAACTTAACAATACTACCTTAATTTATACTTTAGAATTGCCTCGGAGAAATTTGAATTGTTAGCAATGACTTAAACAAAAAGTTTTATTTTAACTGACAAATACTATATTATAATTTTAACTTTTTCTATGACTATACTCATTTTCTTACTCTTTTCTTTGTTTTTTATACATTTTATATTTTTGTGATAAAATAAAAAACTTATAGTTGTTCTGCTTCTGAACACTGATGAAAACACAAAATGATGGGCTTCATCAACAATCAAAAATATATACATTTATTTTACAAATTCCATATTATTAAGGTGGCGCCCTTCAGAGAATTAAAAATACAAAATTATCTTCATCAAAGCCGATGCTTTACATCCGGCGTTCAGTGGCAGACTACTATTTCATATTGTTTTACAACACATGGCTTTAGCCCTCTGGTGGGAAAGACTTTAAAACAAAACTTACAACAGTTACTTTTCTCAACAACTGAAATTTAGAGTAGTGTGATTAAGAAAAATATGTGAACTGTTTGCAATTTCAAATTAATATTGAAATGTACAGGTTTAGAATTTTCTACAATGAAAAGTTTTCGGAACTTCAGTATTCAAAAAAGTATACAAAAACTAGACGTTAAGAACGTATCCAATGAGCAAGCAAAGCGAGCATTGAATTGCGAAGTAATCCGAAATGAGCTGTGAAAGCAGTTCCGGGGGTTGGTGAGCGCCAGCGAGCAGGGGGCGAAGCCTCCTAGTATATACATATTTCTCATATGTGGCACTATAAAATGGGGGGGGGCAATATACTTGAGGGTGCCCCTCGGCAAGACACGACTTCTGTTTGGCGCTATTCCTGCTTGCGCAGAACACCGTGGTAACAGGAATGGAGGCCAAAACATAATGATATTTCAATAAAACATTGGAAAATTTCAACAAAACATCGGATAAAGCTTGCAATGAACCCAATATACGCAAAATTAATAAATCCAATAAAAAGGATTTTGAATCAAAACAAAAATTAATTGAGTAGGCGCAGAAAAAAAATAAAAAAAACAACTCACTTCTTCATTAAGCTTGAATATTCTCAGATTTAGATGCACAGAGTTATCTAATAACAGTTAGATACTGTCTAAATTTATCATGAATAGAATCTGTGTACCTCCATCGCCACATATGAATCAAAAATGGCGTATGTAATACAGGACTAGCGGTGACATTGTTTTCTTAAATCCCTTTTTATGACTGCCCACATACCTTCGATCTTATTGACCAGATTCAAAAGTAACCTTATCAGTCGGTATCCAACGTAGAACTAATGGACCTCTGAAATTACAACCGTTGAACATTTAAAAATAAAGCTAAAATCTAAACCAATCAGAATCACGATTGGGTCTCAACATCATCCAGCTTGGCGATCAACCGTGATCACAACTTGGCGAGAATCAAGGGGCACCCTCAAATATAGTCTACCCAAATCTTGAATTTCTTCATGTACTGTTGTACTGACAGCGTAATTGTTCATCAATAAAACAATTTTTCATTCTTTTAAAATCTACTTTACTTAGAATTTCTAGACAACTTTCCTTGTTTTTCTTATTTCTTCCCAGTCCCAGCATTTTAATCTGTATGTTGAATCTAGTTACAAATATAATTTTAACTCTTTTACACTTAATTTTAATAAATTCCAATGTTGTCGTGTCTATGCTAGTGCAAAGATTAGAGTCCTCCAAAAGTCTTGAATAATAAGTCTATTCCAATCTTTAATCATTATGAGGTAATGAACCTAATTAGTTTCAGGATGTAATAGATGACAATTAACAACTTTTTATGTTTACCATAACATGAATCATGCAATTGTAAAGTTCAATATTTTTTTCCCTCAAATTTGTTTACCGTATTAATTTTGGACTTCTTAATAAATACCTAGTTAGTCGTATTGGACCACTAAATTTCAATTGCTAGCGTGAAAAAATATATAATCTTTAATTACAGTAAGGACTAGGGTTTGATCCTCAGTAGTGGCTTGAAGCTCATCCAGTTTCATATCGCTGGACCTGTTAGTAATGCTGATCAAATTACCACAATCATGCCATGTGTCATAAAATTATGGAGACAGTGGACTGTTGCAGGAATATTATGCTTTATTACAGTATTTAATTTGTTATTTTAATGAGCTTAAAACTATAAGATAATACAATAATAGTATTATCAGCAAAAAGTCAATATTAAGATCTTGGTAATGAAATTTTAAAAAAAAAAAAGAAACATAAATGAACATTACCTACGACAATATGCTAAACGAAGTATGAAATGAGAAATGTGATCCCTTCTTCTCTCTAGAATATATTTTTGATCCTCTTTTTTGGCATTTTCAATTGTCTAAAAAAAAAAAAAAAAAAAAAAAAAAAAAAAAAAAAAANAAAAAAAAAAAAAAAAAAACATTATTGATGAAATAGAAATCTATAATATTGAACAATACATTTGAAACGAGTTATTAAGAAATTCTGCAATTTTAAAATTTTTAAGCTTAAACTAATTCTTTGCAATAGTGAGTATCTATTATTAAATTAAAAAAAACTTTTTTACAATAACAAATATTGTACTTTTTAGTGACACTTAATAAATAAACAACTGAACTATTTGTATTTCTTTCATTGGGAAAATACAAATATGCATTGAAAAATATTTTTTGTTCATTCATTGTGTTACATAATTTCAAATATCATGGGCCAAATAATCAGAAGTAAAATGACTTTCACATATAGATTTCTTTATCAAAAACAAGTGAAAAGCATTACTTTGTAAAAAGTTTTAAAACAGAGAAAATTATATAAATTTTAAAATCAGTAAAAGCTTAAATTAAAAATAAATTAAAAAGAAAACTAAACATCATTTATTTTTATTTTCACAAGTACGATAAATGTCGCAAAATTCAATTAAATAAATGCAACCAATATTTTGATATTGGATTTCAATGTCAATTACAAATTTAGACATTTTAGCTTCGAATCACTGTATTTACTCTTTAATTAAACTAGAAAATTAAGTATCACATTACATCATTTTAAATTATTCAATATTTGGAAATTAGTTACTAAACATATTACAAATTTATAATAGATAATTTTTTAAAAACTTTTTTAGCAAATTTTAGAAAGTCTAGATTTTATTTTTTATGTGTATATTTAAAAATGGCTTTAGCAATATTTTCTTAAAAAATAATCATAAACATTAAATAATTTAATTATTAAAGTTAATTAATTACATACAATACAGATGCTTTGCAATCGCAGATTAGAAAATAAAGAGGAGTTTATATCATAAATAAAATTAAAACATGGTACATATATACATCAGGGGTCTGTCCAGACATTTTGTGAAAAGTCAGTTTTTATAAAATTGTGAAAAAAATTACTCGTAATTTGTGAATATAAAATAAACGTTAAGTCAAATTCTCTTAACCAGCGTCCTGCTTTTGTGAATTTGTGTAAATAGGGTCCTGTTATTGCAAAAAACTTTTTCAAGGAGTTTTTAATTTGTAAAGACATACAAGATTATGCTCAACACTGTAAAATTATAATTAAAAAAATTAAATTTTAAAAAATGAACAGCAATTGCTGGTACTAAATTAGAGAAGCAATTTACAAATATTTGGTATTCAGCCTATACAGCAGAATATTCAGCCTATACAGAGAAAGCAGAATATTCAATTCATGCGAATAAAGGAAGAAGCGACGACTGAAAACAAATTTTATTTAATTTACTTTCTCCCCCCCCCCTTCCTGGAAAGGGTTTATTCGATTAACAAAACAATAATGAGGATAAACAAATTTGTGAAGGGTCCGATTAAAAGATAAATTATTTTGTGAAGGGTTCATTTTTAAGTTAAAATATTTTGTGAAGGGTCTGTTTTTATGAAAAGATATTTTGTGAAGGGTCCGTTAACGGATCCAAATTTCTTCTATACAGACCCCTGGT